ATTCTATAACATTTTCTATTATAAATTTATCTGTTTCTTTGATATTGTTTGACGTAATTTTTTGTTTATATTTTCGTTTTATATATATTATTTATTGTGATGTATTTATTGTAATATATATATATATATATATATATATATATTATATATATATTATTATATATTATATTATATTGTTATATTATATATATATATATATCTGAGCTGATTTTTTGGCGTAATTACTTCAGTAAATGATATCGAGATTCTTATTACTTACATTTCCATTTGTAACCATACGGATTTGATCGTGGTGTTGCTGCTTTTTATTTTAAAAGTTAAAATAAATATTATTACTATATTATTATTTTTATTAAACTTAAAAAGGTTATAAAAATATACTCTACTTTTTTTGTTTTTGTGTTTTTTTTTGTTCCACACTAATGTATAAAAGGTGTAGGCTTAATAGATTATTTGTAACTAAATGACAAAAAAGTAGTGGTTGGAATTAGGGGCGTGAAAAGTATGAATTACGTTGTGATTTCAGACGAACTTATTCCATTTTTATTCCAATGTCATGGATTTTAACAATTCAGCACCAAAGGATCTATCTTAACGACCTATATATAGTTGGTAACGGTTGTCGAAATACCTATTTTTAAAAAGTCCAATTTACTTTGAACTCTATCTTACATTGTGAATTACGTTAATTTTTTTACTAGGTATTATAATAACATTAAATGACAAAAAAGTGAAATAAAATATTCCTATATATTAGATACTTAATGAGTTTTTGAAACGAAATAAATTTAATTGTCTTAAAATTTATATTAAAATTTCATAGCTAGGAATTAATGGAATATAATGTGTTATGCTAGACTTGACGATCTGCTAGTCTTCAGTACTTAAACCAAGCTCAAATGTTAGTGCAATTGGTTTTTAACGTATTTCTAGTTTACATAGTAGAGATTTTTGCTCTGGTGCTATATTATGCTGTAGCATAATATATTTAAATATATTAGAACGCTATATATATTCCAAACGATTAGAATAAAGTAATTTGGTATTATATTATGGTATTATATTATAAGAATTTAATTTGATAGAATAGTACGCGCGAGATACATAATAACTTACTAGCATTTCTAAAAAAAGAACATCCAAAACAGCTTTCTCTCAAAAATCTGCTGAATAGACGGTATCAATACCGTCTATTGATAAGATCAATACATCATAATAAACGTAATCAATGCTTAACGAATTTAAAGAGCTTTATATTTTTGCAAATATTTTGGAAATTTTCTTTAACAATCTTCTCGGTATCCCCATATTAGTACCGTGTCAGCAGTGCTCAACTATCAACCTAAGTCGTCTTATTATTAGTGCTATGATTTGTGTTTGTGGATTTTATTAGTTTGTTTGTTTACAGTTTTTGCAAGTGGGAGGGCAACGCGTAAAATATTTCATCTTTAGTAGTAAAATCACTTGCTGCTGTTGCTGCTACTTCGACTCTTGTTGAAATTCTCATTATTTTTGTATGATTGAGCTGCTGTCACTGTTATGATTATTTTTCATTTATATATTTTTATTAATATAAAACACAAATATCAGATAATAAAGAATCAGATGATTGAGTTTACCAGTAAATAAGCAAAGATTATTACAAATAAATAGCAAAAATAAAAATACACTCATAAAACTAACAACAGACACTAAGAAACTAGATTGCCTTAATAGCATTTGAGATACTATACAAATTTTTATGAGTCAACGGGATGAAAGAACTCTGCTTTAGTTTAAGATTTTTTCATTTTTAACGATGTTGCTAGTTTTAATATTTATTTATTTTTATTTACAAATCTTATTTGGAAATATTATAGTTTGATTATTCTTGATATACTCTTTAATGCTTAGGAGTCAATTTTTTTTTTATAAATATATAGATAATATGTTATATATAATATTGAAAATGAAGTATAAATGAAGTATAGTTTCCACAAAAAAAAATTATAATAAATAAATAAAGTAGTCAAGTAATTTTCTTTGAATTTTGCAAACGTATATATTATTAATTATCTTTTCAAATATTCTTAGTAAGAAACTATTAATGAAAAATCGTTTTTTTATAATTATTTATATATTTTTCATAATTAAATTAATTAAAAAAATTTTAACTACTAATTTCAAGTAACTTAAAAAATATTACTGATAATTGCATAATTAAGTTGAAACGATTCTGAAGGCATCTCTGTTTGGGAAGAACAAAAAAAGCTACTTACAATACTACTTACAATTATCTCAAATATACGAGTATATATTAAAAACAATATAGATGATGACTCACAAACATTGGATCATATTATTTTTAGCTATTCTGTTGTGATGCACAATTAAGCTAACATAATGCTATATTTGGATCAATCCTGCAAAACTTCCTTGCACGAGAACAAACTGATCTCTGCGAGTCACCTCTGGTTTATAAATATAAACCAAATTCAATGCTTGAAACACTCAATTTAGTATATTTGGCAATATTATTGTTGAAGACACTTGTAATCTATGTGTACTACTATGGTTAACCACTATGTAGGTACGTTCAAGTCATAGGTATATTTTAATCGCATCAACAAAATCAGAAGTATAATTTATGGCCCTTTCTATATTTAAAAGTTAGATTCATAATAGCTAAATACTCATATCATGCTTTCTTGCCGCCTTAAGTATCTAAAATTTATGTTGTCACCTCCGTAACGAGGATTTCGTGTGCTCAAAAAACCATGTGGCTTTATGTATGAAATGATTCTTCACGCTTACTAAACTTTAACTTAATTGAAATAAATTATAGTTTTAATACTGTGACATTTTCTTTGTGATACGCCATACAAAAACAAAAAAAAACATTAATAATTTTATTAGTTAATCTTTTTTAAAATCAAATGAGTTTGTTTGCTGTTATGTTCTGCCTGCCGCCTGTCAGCCTGCCTGCCTATATGCTCACCGATTTTCCCCCATATTTGTCAATTTGATCATAGATCATAGAGTGTTTATTTCTTTCCATGTTAGTTTATTTTATAAATTACCAAGTTGCTTATAAAATTTATATTCTTTCTATTAATGAAATATGACTGCATACTCCAGTGACAAATGAGATTAACTCAACTTCAACTAAACCCGCATATGAACTAATAAAATTTTTCACAATTCATGTTGTGCATGGTTTTAATATATAGATATATAAATATATTTAAAAAAAAAAATATATGATTTATGTTACTGTTGAAAATTGTGTTAAATGTCTTAGTAAATTTTCATGAATTTATTTACTAGATTTTAAGAACCGTGCAGTCATTAAAAATAACTCCTTAAATCAATAAATAAAATTTGTTTTAAAAGATTTTGTATCTACTACCACTCATGTACCAAACAAGATAATAATATATGTAAATTTATGTACATGCAATTATTTTTGAGCAATAAAATTCATATTTGTAAGATTTTTATACCAAAATTTGCTTTATTTGCAACTGGATTGAGTTGTAGTTTTATATTAAGAATCCACAAGTAGCATAATTAATGCCATTTTGATAGTACTTCTTTTTGTAGTCATATGCAGTTATTTTTTTATATATGTATTATTTCTAAACTATACACTTTTAATGTATTCCAGGTTCTATCTAAAGAACCTGGAAAATAGTATAGTTCCTGTTGAAAAGCTTATTAAATAATAGCTTATAGCTTAATAAACTCCAACAGAGACTATTAAAAAAAGCCAAAAGATCTTTTAGTTCGAACAGATGTATATTTAAGTAACATAAGCAATCATTTAGCTAAATATTTCTTTTAGTCGAATGATTGCTCGTAAAATTGTATTGAAATAATAAATATTTTATGGACAGCTAGACACAATTCTAAATACAACTTTAACACCAATATATCTACTTATATGCAGAGCTTACAAGTTTTGGTGGTTGGTTCTAACTAAACAGAATCAATGAATTATAAACTATTGTGGTATCTTCATCTTTAAACATCAGCAAATCCGAACAGAAAATCATCTAAATGCACATATAATTCTAGAAATCTTTGAAATAGATATTATATAGATCTTTTATTTCCAGACTTTGTGCTAGTAAGTGAACACTAGATAATTATATAATATCCGACTCTGGATAATCGCTTAAATAGAGTAATTAAATGATAACTTTTCATTACTTTTACCAATATCAACATTTATTAGCGAATTGTCATATTATCTTACAGAAGTTAAAGCTAATAGGAACTTGACTTGTTAGGCATTGTTAAGATCGATTTAAAATCAGAAGTTTAAATATGCTAGCTTTGCATGTAGGACTATGATATCACAAAAAAAGTTATGTCTATATTTAAAGATAATCATATGGTTAAACGGATACAGTTTTCTTAGAATTGTTCTATGTGTTAACTAAGTGTGTTTACAATATTGTTATAGAATATTATAGACTAATCTTTTAAAGAATTCAATTTTTATAAATTCCAAACTCTAACATCAACTTTTTCATATTTGAATCCAAACAACGAAATATTAAAGTTATAAGAAGATATGTAGTATTTAAACAACTTTTATATTAAAAGTTTATTAAAAGTTTATATTAAAAGTTTGTATTTCTAAGATTATACCATAGATTAATCCTAATGGTTGCTTCATCTTACTGTACTAAATAATTAAAAGTTTATTAGGTACCACTTTCCACATTTGTCATATTGAGCACTATATCCACATTATCATGTCAATGATGAAATGTTAAGCGTTAAAATAATATAACAAAAATAATAATATATTATTTTTAATATGTAATATCAGTTACTACGCATAAGACCAAAGGAGAAATGAATAATAATACTTTAAATGAAATTTTATTTTGTTGTCCCTTTTTTCTCGTCTTCTATATTACTTTTATATTATATTATAATATATAAAATAAAAATACTCATATATGCATGACTTTAATAAGATTTTATCTCTATTCTTTTTCAGGTAAATACAACTTCTTAAATGATAAACCTACTTACAGACCTTATATAGTTACATAGCAAACCGTAAGTATGAAAAATGCACGCCTGGGTTAGATATTATTATATATATGAAAGTTTTAATCATATAATATGAAATGCATAGCAATAATATAGAATTTATATAAAATAGTAATAATTAACTAATTAAAATTGTTTCCATCGTTTTCTTGTCTTTTGCCTAATATACAAGTGAGTAAAATTTTTTTTGACACTATTTTTTCAGGCATTCTGTAAAAATATGTATTTAAACCGACTTTTATTTCGATTAATTCCGGTTATTTATTTAATTTATCAAATGTAGCGCAATCGGTAGCATCCACCTATTTTTTTGGTCAACACATTTCTTTAAAACTTTTTCAACACATATTAAATCAATGATTTATATATTATTGCGGTTTTCATACTTCGCACCTGATCTTAAGAAAGTTGTATAGATTACAGAGTAGCTTTATTTTTTTAGAATACGAGCATAAGTAGTTCACTTTTAAAAGATTTGATATTTTCCAAATAATGCTTGCTGCAGTTGTTAGTACTTGAATGTACTTTGTTTAGTTTAAAAACCTTTTAGATACCTAACTATATCAGTACTCTGAAATGTGTAATAACCACTTATCATAAGCGCTGAATTATTTTGAATTTTAAAAATTGTCCAGATACAGTCGATTTTCGTTAATCCATATCTCTGGTAATTAAAAATCTATTGTAATCTGTACAAAATTAAAAATACAAATAATGCATTATTTGCCTTGTATTCCAAATCGACCTCTGTTTCGCTAATCCGGATTACATATTATGAATATGTTTGATAGTTTAATGAAATAAATCACATATATGGGTTATTTGTTTATGCGCATATATGTTTAATTTGCCTATAAGCTATGTTAGCTATTTGATAACTTAATCTTTTAATCTCATTTATGGATTTTATGGAGTAATGTATTTAGCTATAGATTATTGCTTTGTTATCGTTGTTGTTGTTTTTATTGTTGTAGTAAATCAAAGACATCTCCCTGTGTAGTCTCATTTTGGGAGTACTTGGAGGCACTATGTTATCAAACTGGATAAGTGACAACTCTTGGAACCCTCTCTAATTTGTATTCAGTTTCTGCACATATATAATACTTCCCTTAGAATTTTTAATCCAACCAAATGTCTAAGTAAATCGGATTGGCCCAATTTAGATAGATTCGACGCAACCATATAAATTATCATTTAGTGTCTACAAAAATTAAATGGAATTTGTAACTTCTGTTAGAGTTTTACAGTTTACAAAAATATTAGAACCAAAAAGCTAAGATAGTAATATCACAATTTTCTACCGATTAAAGATATAGAATACTATTATTAGTTTAATTATCAAGTGCTAAGTTTAAACATATTTTTGTATTTTGTTAGACACTAAGCTTAAGCTAAGGTCTCATGTTAAGCATTGGTATTATAGTAAACTCGTAGGAACTAAGTAAGATTAGTTTGTTGGACTGACTATCACAGTAATTTATCTTACCTTTTTTCCTACGATTTACACGCCTTCATGGGTTTTATTACAAATTGATAGCTGTAGTTTAGATTACTTATATGATCTAAGATATTGTTTTGTTCCCTATTAGAGCCAACTATTTTTCATGTGGCAATGAAGTTTCGTTAAAAACTCCTGCCATCTATATGTGTTTGTCGCTTTGTTATGTATTCGATACATTCTATTATATTGTATTATAGTATTTTAATAGAATTTAAAATTATTTTTGTTATGGTTTACTCTGTTTGTATGTGGTTGCTTTGGTCCTTTGTAATATTCTTAACAATCAGTGCGACCTACAGAGCTGCAATACTTATAACTGCATTTTTCTTTCCTTGACTCAACATCGGGTTTCCTATAGCTCGCAATATGTAGGGTTATATGTTTATACTCGTACATATGATGAGTGCTGTTTATTGTGTAGAATAATGTTTGAAGCAGCAAATGTTGAAAGAAAATGTACAGGAAGCGGATACGGAAATGGTTGCAAAGCAAAGCGCTGTTGAAGAAACTCTTTTTAAAGTAACTTAAGGAATTAGCGGCACCTCAAGCAAATTTGCGTTATGAAAACATAATCTCAAGGAGAGTATAGCAATCATTTCGTGTACATAAAGCGGTGCTAAGAGTTTTTTTTCTTTTACATTAAACGCTGCGTTGAAGGACCAAACGAAACGCGATGTTTGAACTCACCTGTATCCCTCCGAAATCCCCAAATTAACTGCATTTGCGCGCTATTATGTGCAGCTGTGTATACTGTGTATGCGCGTAAATGTTTGTTTGTGTGAGTGTATATAGATTTAAAATGTGATTCGGCATTTCACAAACTTGCAGACAGGCGAGCATACAAGCACAAAGCTCAAAGCAACCAAAAATATGGGGTTTTTTTTTGAAAGCATTTCTGCTGGGTTTTTGCTTCCTTTAATTTATTTTCAAAACAATTTTTATTTTTTTTGCTGTACAAATTCTTGTTTGTTCTTTTTTAGTCAATGCACGCCGGTCAATGACTTTATATACATTTTGTTCATTATTAGTATATTTTGGCATGTTTTTTTCATTTATTTATTTTTTATTTTATTTTATTTATACATACATAATTTTTTTTTCTTCTTGATAATGTAGTTTGCTTGCTGTTTGTTGTACATTCAGTATTATTTGCAACATTTATTAAAATGACTCAATATGCCAACGATTTTTCTGTATTTTTTTTTTTGTTTTTGTTTTTTGCTCTTTTTTTTGGTTTTGGATACGTTTTGTTTGTGGCTTTATTGGTGCTGTAGTTGCCACATTTCTGTTGCCTACACTGTTACACTCTTTCTGTTACCATTGCTGCTGCTGCTGCTACTTCTTTTTGGTGATGAATGTTGCCTATGAAGTTGTGAAATTTATATTTTATGCCAATTATGCAATGTTTGTACTCGTAATTGAAGTATCACTTTTCCACCATTTTCATTAGGTAATTAAGCATTAAAATCAATTTCAAAAAGTATATTTAAACATATGATGAAGAAATGTAATTTTTAACCATTAAATTAAATTGACTGTTCCACATAACAAATTAGATATTCGTCAAGTAGTAGATAGCAAAAAGGAGATACTTCTTTGATAGTTTATCAGACTTCATCGGTGACTATTTTATCTAATTATCTAAATTCGGCGGAATGGATTTAGTCTCTACTCTTCTATACAAAGATTCTTGCGAGGAATGTGGTAGCAAAACGGCGAAAAATCGCTAACTGAGGTACATGGAACTTATCTAATGACCTGCCACTGTAACCAATCAACCAGAGAGCAAAAAACGAAAACGGACCGACCACTCGCTAAAATAATTCTTAAACTACTCCACAAAAACGCTCTGGAACACTTAAGATTCTTATCCGAAGGATTAAATAAAATAATACATATTATCATAATATTAAATACATATATTTATGACCAAAAATTATTATTATAATAATTTGTTACCGGGCTAATTGGTCAAATTTAAATATAAATAAAAAGACACTGATTTATTATTTATATTTAAAAATCGTTTATACTTTATTTCCGATATTTCGACTATCTTCGATAGTCATCTTCAGGGAAAACTACACAAAATATATTTTGTGTAATATCGGAAATATCGGAATAATATCGGAATATCGGAATATCGAAATATCGGAAATAAAGTATAAACGATTTTTAAATATAAATAATAAATCAGTGTCTTTTTATTTATATTTAAATTTGACCAATTAGCCCGGTAACAAATTATTATAATATTATCATAATATATATAATTTTATGATTTTATAGAACTTATAAACTTATAAACATATAAAAAATAAATTATAAGTGGCAAGAATTACCAAATTAAAATTTTAAAAATCAAAATTTATTTTGGTTTTCGCACAGTTTACGGCATTTAATGTATTAAAAATTTACTCATGTAAAACCTTGCGATCAATCCCTAACCTGGAAAATAAAATCTGGAGATAAAGTTGCTGTTTGTTAGCTAGAGAGTTTTCTCTCTACTAGGTGTTTTCAGGTTATAACGCCTGTACTAGGTTGCCAGAGCCTCGTATGCGAGAACAGGATGCACCACGTGTACATGAGGTTGGCTGTTGAGAAGGTAAGGCTGTGTATTCGCATCACTCCATCATTGGGGCACACATTTCTGCCGCTTGCATCGGTCAACGAATTTTTAATCTGCAGAAATTATAAAGTGTTACAAACCTTAAAAATTAATCCACCAAAATTATACTCAAAAACTACTCAAGTGTGTCATGCGTCTTCGAAATAAATAATGAACATATGTATCATACAATTTTATAATAACTTAAAGTAATTCATACAAATTTTGAATTTTCTATAACAAATGTTTTAACAAAGATTTTTTTTAGTAGTTTTTAGGATCGTCAAGTGAAAATGTGTAATATAGTGCTTGGCTTATGGGGAAAAGCCAGACTATTTAGCGCCAAATAACAGAACAGTCACAGAGAAATGCATTTAGTTGGCAAAATTACAATATATTTGAAGAAGGGACTTTAAAATAAGGAAAAGGGGATTTAAAAATTCCTCTTCGTACATATACCGTTACCGCCATATATACCGCTATATTTTGAAGTAGGAACTTTAACAAAAAGAAAACAGGGAAATTTAAAAATTCCCTCTTCCTATTCAAGAAAACATTATGTATTCACCTATATAACATACATATATAAAATTTCAGAAGTTGACAGTAAATGTATTTGTTTACTGCATACATTCATCAACTTTGACTGCACTTCCTGTGACATATTTGTGGGTCTGCCGTTAAAAAAAAAGAAACTCATTTAAATTGCTTTTCTGAGATTTTAAATAATAAACTATACGGGACAAATAACGAAATTGATTGCAAATATTGATATTGATATTGCAGTAGGAGTACAAGTTCCAATAAAAGCCAATAAAAAGTTCAGCTTGCAATGTGGGCTGCGACGAAATTGACCCAAATTCCGTAAATGTTTATATAAAATCCTTATACATACAG